GCTGCATGGCAAAAAAAAAAAAAAAAAAAAAAAAAGGGTTTGCAGCCAACACAGCCCCGAATTATTCTGAAGAAGGGGAACTTATGACAACCCGAAACTAGCATAGCAGCCTTTTTTTTAAAAGCGGTGTCAATTTTGGGACATTGTTGAAGTTTCTGGAGGAATTGGCAAATCTGCATTTACTAGCTTTTGTCTCTGTAAGTCAGGGGTGTCAAAATCATTTTAGCGGTGGGCCAATATGGAGTTGCGTCTTCCCTCGGAGGGTCGTCATGACAGTGAAACCACAAAATTATCACTTGTACACAACAAATGAATGGATTAGTAGTTTTGAAATCAGTCAAGTCAATTATAATACTTTGTTCAATTATTGTTCAAGTGAGTGTAAACAGGGTAACAAAATTATTGCAAAATGTCAACATTATTTATGACACATGACAATTTGACATTTCGGTACAGATTTTAGCAAGTTGACACTCATGATTTGCTTTCGCGGGGCAATTAAATTGACCTGGTGGGCCGGATCTGGCCCCCGGGCCTTGAGTTTGACACCTGTACTCGGACCCCTTTGGGAGCTGTAGCAACGTAGCTCAGAAACTGCTAACCAGCAGCCTACCAATGGTGTTTTAATTTAATTCATGCTTTTGGACATCATATTTAATGCTTTTTAATAGCAGTTTTGTATGTCGGTGGGTACCCCCCAAAAAAATTTGGTTCATGGACACCTCCCTGAATCATTTTCAATGGCGTGACAACCAGCACTGAGGACCCCAAATTGGCATCAGACCCTGTTCTGAGATCGATTTAGTCCATTTTTCAGTGTCACGGGTGCTCTTAAAATGGTCGTTAAAATCTTCCAAATACACAACCGAGGAATTGTGGTCACCCAAAAATGAATTCAAGTCCAGTGCTGCCATGGGCCCAAATCATTCCAACTGGCTCAAGAACCTTCCTAATGCAAACCAGGTACACTGCAACAACCTGATAATTGCATTGGATCGCATTTTTAGGCGTCCATTTTTATTATTATATTCAAGTCCCTGCCAGATAAAGGGTAAAAACATCCAGTCTTGTATATTAAAAATATATATTCCGGATTATTAACGGATTATAAGAAATTAGCCAGTTGTCTATCAAATAGCATACCAGCACATCAACAACTGGACTGTGCACGTTTCAAAAAAAAGTCACACTAAAAAGGAAAAAAGAAATAAATAAAAATAAATAAAACACCGAAGAAGAATCCGCATCATAAAAAAAAAAAAAAAAAAAAAACCACAAAAAAAAACCCCCCCCCCCCGCCGATATAAAGTCAGACTCACAAATAAACAAGCCGACATCCATCGCCACGTGCTCGCACGGAACCGACTCTTACGCGTCGTCTAAACATAGGGAGGGACGACAAAGGAAAATATTTGTATACTTGGCAGGCCAACTTCCTTTGATTGCAGGAGTGCTGCTGCTGTAGGAAACAATGCACGGGCACTATTAATACACCAAGGAGAAAGCGAATTCCTCTTGGACGACGGCTCAAAGGAGCCGGGGCTATTTGCAGACGTACTGACTGATTGAATGTCTCACCAGTTAACTGAACTCGCCGCGTCTTGTCTTACGCGTGTGTTTTCTTGTCTCCCAGCAGTGCTGACAAAAACGACGTAAGGCATCACTCCGGTGAAACTTGACCGATTAAACAGGCCTTGTGTATTATTAACCCTTTCATGCGCCCTGTAACCTGATGACATGATACGCCGTCCACTGTAGTAACCGCTGTCCCTCAAAGGGTTAACTAAGGTAACTCCTATACTGTGGTACCTCTACTTACAAAAGGAATTGGTTCTGGAAGAAATGTCTTCACTAGAAAATTTTCTGAGACGCGTTTTCCATGTAAATGTCCTAATTCGTTCCGAGCGCCCCCAAAATTCAGATAAATGTTTCCAAAAGCATAACAAGGCATCAAAATATGTAACAAATACATGTTACAATTATATTATTGCACAATAAATCAGAGTTTTGCATCATGTAAAAATACAAAAATAGAGGAAAGAATGAAAAATGATGGTCATTTAACTTTTAACTGCGTCATCATCGTTTTTTTGCCCTCTTTAATTCGTGTTCTCTCTCAGAAGTGGTTTTTGCCTGGCGTTTTGTCAAGAACTGATCCGAGGATGTTTGCTTTTGTCGGCTTTTAACAATCCTTCGAAAACGTCCAAGGCAAACATCAGCATTGTGAGCTATCACCCGACTGGTAAACACGTTTTCTGGTTTACGTAAAACTATCGGAACGACTCATGGCTCGAAAGGCGAATGACGAGGACGCTGTATAGACACATATCTATCTAGTTATCGATCTACACATGGTAGAGGTCCCTCTGAGCCAATGGGGTGCCAGGAAGATGCTAGGTAATAGTCAACGGCAGAGCAGCGTTCAGGAAACTCGGAGCTGCGAGTAGCCGACCAAACAGAATTTTTACCTTTAGTATTTCTTTTGTAACAAGAGGCAAGATTTTCCTGTTGAGGCGTTTCGTAACTTGAACATTTCGTATGAAGAGACGTTCGTAAGTAGAGGTACCACTGTACTGTATATGAGAGTAATAATTAACGCCTGGTACACAAGTCAGGATTTTTCAAATCTTAAAAGATTTTTTTTTTTTTTTTAATCTGCGACAGAACCCACACATAAAGAGAGAAAATAATGTTAACAGTTTTTGGTTGTATTCTCTGATAATCTCAACACAGCAAACGACACATAAAGATTCCGTTCCAAGGCGCGATCTCAAAAACGCGAAGTCGAGCAGAGACCTCCAAGTATGCGCCGATGGTTGTTGCCGAATGTATCCGAAGAAGACCAAAGGTCACAATCCACGAGGTCAAATAGCGCGAAAGTGGTCAGCTTTCCCCACACACATGAACATTTTTTATTATAAATATTGACCACATCTGATATTTAAAACTGTCTGCCTGACCCTTTTGGGACCCTACGATTGGGTCTTTTGTTATCCTGACTCGAGTCAAGTCGGATGACTCGAGTCCGCCCCTCCCATCTCTGATGATTGACTATGCTTTTCTATCGTGGACGCTTAAAGAGCATCAAATCCCCTCTCGCTCCACCAGCTTTCATTAGCATAGCTAACAAACTCCCTAAAAGAGCGAGAGTGGATGGAGAGAACAATCGTGGTCTGTAATGAGGCAGGGGGTGGTGTGAAGAAGAGGGGCTATTGTTCTGGTCTTATTTAGACTTTGGTGTCACCCCGCAACTGTTGTCACTTCTAAGTTTAGCTGAAGAGGGCAGCGCCAAGGAGGAGGAGGAGGAAGAGGAATGGAGGAGGGGATGGCGAGGTTGAAATGGATGCAAATGGAAGACGGAAAGAATGCAGATGGAGATGATGTGGAAGGCAGCCACTCGTGGGGAAGAGGGGGGAAAAAAAAAATGATGACTTCACTCACCCCCGACATGCTCCTAAAAGACCAACTGTGAAGTCTGAGGGGATTTAGCGGTAAGTGTTGCTACTATTTCATAAAAGGCACTGGCAGACATCAGACAGCAATCGGTGGAATGAATAAACAGATTTTAGAGGGACTTGCATCTTCAGGGTAGGTTCTACATTAGCCGCAAAGCTCCTCTAGCCCACACGCCACGACAAACAACCTTGAATTTCCTCAAAATCGACACATTCACAAGTGAATGATGTTCATTTTTTTTTTTTTAACAGCCATCCAAACAAGCACGACAATCCAGTCCAGAGGGGTAGTAAAGTACACTTCAATCACAGAACCAAAGGAGTCCAAAGACGCAATCGGACAGGACCGAAGAAGACGAGGGGAGTACCGACAGATTAGCCCAGCTGTCTGCTCATAAAGCGGCGAGGGCTGAAGGCGCTAAGCCCTGCAGTGAAAGCACAGCTTAGGCAGGAGGGGGTGAGGGTGGGGGGGCGCCGGCCAGCGGACCCCGATCGGCACTACGGTGGCCTACAACACGGGGCCCGAGCCAAAGCAAAGACACATGGATAAACAGAAGAGATGAGGGCTTTTCGGCCGGGTTAAGACGGCCGGCGTCAACCTCCCCTCGTGGAGACGCGGTGGCTAGACTTGAGGCTCGCCACTCGAGATAAGGGCGGGATGAACATTGTCTCGGTCCAGTAAGAAAGTGGATTTAGTGTCCATCCCTATATTGGGACAATTCTTGGCACGCGGTACCTTTTGAACCGGTCTTGGCTACCACCCCGCCCTCCATCACGTACACACAAACACGTGTCCATCCCCGGAAACGTGCCCCGGCGGTGACCCCTAGTTAGCGCGGCCCGCTGCCAGCGGCACGCGATGACAAGGTCAGGAATACGAGGTGACGAGGGCCTCGGTTCACTCCGACCGCAAGGCCAAGAGCGGCAAAGGGTCTTTAACCACGCTGGATTTCACACACAGCGCGCATGGGCGACCTCCCGGCAGTGAGGCATTAGCAGCTGCTGCTTTATGAGCTTCCCAATGTGACAATGCCCCCGCGTATCCATCAAGGGTGCGCCCGTAAATTATATTCACTGTGTCTTTGAGGGGTGTAAAAAAACAGAGCGCTTACCATTGCCGGGGAAGCGGATCATTTATAAAACACCAAACAGATCGGCGTTGCTATCCAAATACACCATGTAATCTCACTTTGACACGAGCATAAACAGAAAGGTTTAAAGTACAGTACCGTGCGGAGTCTCTACGTATCTATTATTGGGTTGTGATGATGGAATTTACTTTCTAATTATAAGTCTAAGTTTAGTGTCAGGCGGGGGTGCAAAACTTTTTTTTTGACAGATGATATACTTTTCAAACCAGTCAACCTCCCGCGATCGACCAATTACCGCACGTGCACGCTTACACGCACCCACACGCGCAGCCGTGCGCAAAACTGCATAATCACGCACACACAAAATGGTCATGATGAGCAGCAGCCATAATAGTCCCTGAACGTGAACGACACAGTAGATACAATAGTTGGTGTTAAGGAAATCAGTGCCTACCTTTGTAAAGACGCGACGTGGAGGCATGAGACGAACTTTCGCAGCGTAAGGTGCAGAAACTGTCGTACGTCCGTGTCCCGTTTTAAAATGCTTCTCCTGATTCCATTCTTTGCCGGTGCCATCGGTGAATTGTACATAAAACAAACTTTGAATGACAGTAATAATAGTAAAAAAAAGATATGTAGCAACAGGTCTAATCGCAACCTGCAATTACAGACAGCTGATCGCTAACAACTTCCGGTGATGCGGATGACGCGTATCCGTAGGTTTGAAGTGACCTGCTGTTTTTTTTTTTATTTTTATTTTTATTTATTTATTTTTTTTTTTTTGTGAAAATGAAACTGATTGGATGCTTAGGTTGCAGTGTACACTAACACAAAAATATGTCGGATTAATGACACAGACACGCACAAATCTTTTTTTTTTAACATTTCCATTCCACCTCTCGCGATCAGTTGGGACCAGTGCGCGAGCTACTGGTCGATCGCGATCGACTGGCTTTGCCCCCGCCCCCTGGTGTCAGGTAAAATCAAATTAGGGCCTCTCTGACGCTGACTTTGTACAGGTAGAATTGCCAGAAAGTGACGCAATTCCAGAAATGTAAACTATCGAATAATGAAGACAGAAAAAAAAAAATTAAAAACAGGTCATGCCTTGTGTATCTATTTAATATCTCTGCTCCCGTCTCTTATTCTGTTTTCCATAACAGGTTTTTCCTTGGGAACTAAATCTACTTTAGGATTTATTGTTTCTTATCATTCCTCATCATTGGAAATTATAATCCTTTCACCTAATCCTCTCTCTCTTCCCTCCCTCTTTTTTTCAGATCATATTCATCAAGATCATCCTGTGTGCGGCAAAGCAAGAACCCAGCACGCCAACCAAGGTCTAAAGAGATCGGCTTGGGCTCTCGGGAAACAAGGGGGTTTCTTCCAAATCAAATCAGCTCCTCTGATGTAATCAAGACGAGACGCCAAAGACGAGCGAGTAATCTGCCGGGGGGACATGCCTCCCTTTGCTTGGACATTATTAAAAAATGAGGAGGAACAACATCTTTAGATTGGAAGAATGGGAAAATGAAATTATAATAAAATCTGGGAGTGCGGGGAACTGGGGCAAGGTTGGATAAAGGGTTCAGATGCACGTCAAGGACAACTTTTCATACTGTTGTTGAGGAGTACAGTACATATAATGTAAAAAAAAAATGGGTGAACTCAAAATTTACATGGCAAACTTTGGTCAAATTTATCAATTGGGTTATTCTACAAAATATTTTTGCAAATGTGAAAATTGTCTTTCCTGTATTTTCAACAAAGACAAAAAAATACAACCCTTACAAAACTAATTATCCATTCTGTTATCCCCCACCTGAAAGATATCAGCAAAAATTACTCAGCACATTGTTTTGGAGAAAACAGCTTGCTTGCTTTGATGTACTAAACTAACAGTGTTGCCACAAATGTCAATAATTTATATTTTAAAGTTGTTCCAACTTAAATGACTGTTTTAGGCCCCAAAAAACTGCTAGCTTTTTCCCCCAGTGAGCACTGTAAAAAAATTTGAAAACACAATTGACCTGCATGCATTGTGTTTTCATGGATGTTGATTAACTAGTTTATACAATTTAAAAAGTGAGATTTAAATATGATTTTGAAGGGACTCAAAATGATGTACCAATATGTCAAGATGTAGTTATTTTTTTAAATGTACTTCAAACACTTGTCCACAAGAGGGCTCTCTCCGGTTTCTCTTGAATCGATAGGATGCTGAATGTGGTCATGTTTCTCCCCAAATAAATTTTATTTCATTTTCATTCCGTATTTTTTTGACAGACTTCCACTATACTCTATATTTTTGTTTTCTTTTCACATTTTCGAATTGAGCAATTATTTTTATTGGTTATTTTACTGGTTTATTTAATTGATTCTGTCTGCCACTTCATTTGCTGTTTTTGTTTCAAAGAAATATTTATGCTCATAATTTGATTTGGTTTCAGTGGTTTTTGTTTCATTGTTCTCTACCACGTATTCGTATTTTATCATTTAAACAGTGTATTTATAATTGACTGATTCACCACCAGGTGGCATTCGTCGCCTATACACATCCATTATTGAAGCCGTTTATTTATCGATCTATCTGAACGCAATAGCAAGTCCTCGCTGGACTTCATGAGGCATGCTTTCGAAAGGAAATTAGATTTAAATTGTAAAAAATTATTATTATTTTTTTTTTGTAATTCCCTATATTTTGACCTTAATTTTTAAAATTAGTACACAATAAGGAATAAACAGTTGGAATAGTGACAATACTGTATGTACTATTTCTACTAATAGTATTCTCCTAATAGGAGATCCTATAATTTAATCTGATTTTCATTGATTTAATTGGGTGTAGTACAGTCGTTCGGCACAGAGAGCGCTGTTTCACTCGTTTGATCCCTATCAAGTGGCTTCAAAACACGATGACGGTTCAATTGGTTGTACCGTAAGCATTCTTATTTATAATGTCACAACTCACCCAAAAAGTTATTATAAACATATCATTCCAGCCATTTCCCCTTAAATGAAGTGAGTGTTACAAATTTTGTGTGGGGGTACGGACGGGGGCCCAAGCAGAAGGAGGTCTCCAAATCTTTTAATAGTAACGTTGGTTCCGCCCACTTGGCCGCTATGATGGTCTTCCTCACCTCCATGAAGCAGGAGGACCAAGAGGAAGAAGTGGAATACTTGTCAGGATGACTGGTGTCGGCATCGACGGCATAGAGAGGTTTCAAAGCCCGGATAAGGGGCGAGGCCTACGGGTAACCAGAGCTTTCCACGTCGGGGAGCTTCTCTTCTCCTGCCCGCCATACAGCTATGTCCTCTCGGCCCAAGAGAGGGGGGCCTACTGCGAGTTCTGCTTCAACAGGTACACATGGATCTCTCTCTCTCTCTCTCTCTCTCTCTCTCTCTCTCTCTCTCTCTCTCTCTCTCTCTCTCTCTCTCTCTCTCCATCTCTCTCTCTCTCTCTCCCTCTCAATCTCACCCCACCCACCCTCTGGGGCCCTCATGGCAAAAGCTATTCATTTTAGTTGTCTTACGCCATGCATACAGCATATGAGTCCAATTTTATATTTTATTGATGTTGAAATCGATTTTTTTTCAATGTACTAATTATTCAAACGGATTTTTTTTGTATTGGTGTGCTGGTGGTTTAAAATACTTTAGATACAATCCCATTGATTTACGATATTTGTTTTTTATATTTTTTTAATGAGTCATTTGAGCTGATTTTAATTGGGTTTGTTGACTTCAATATTTTTTTATTTATTGAATATATATCAAACTAGCATAACTTAATATTTTCCATTTAATTTGTGTGATTTTGTTTTGCTTTTTAGATTGTTTTTGTATTTAATGTATGCACATGATCTGAATTTTCTTTGTTTTAAACTTGATGTAATTGCTTCATTTAAATGTATTTCTGAACATTTTCTTTCGAATTATTCTTAAACTGTTGCTCAACTTTCAATGGGTATATTCATTCGTCACTTCTTAATGTCATTTAATCATTGCTAATTCAATCCTTCATTTCATTTGGTTTATTTATTTCGATTATTTGAGTTTTTTTAGGCAACAACGCCACTGCAGTCCATCTTTGTAAAGACGGCGCCACAATATTCGCGATCGTCAGTGTCAGTGCACCACAAAGACAGCTGTTTCAAATATTTGGCTAATCTTATTTAGCCACATGCTAGCAAAGCACCCTTTAGGCTAATGGCATCAAAATGTGCACACCGCCGTATTTCATTTTCTATTCCCGCGGGCCCAGCTGTCACGTTTGGGTGCCGACGGCTCATACCGACGGCAAAGGAAGACTTGGGATGCGTATCCTCCTAAGTGTCAATTCATTAACTGGGATTGAATCGCAGCTGGCGTTCGCGGAGCTTACAGCGTCTTGGATTTGTCATATTTCTTTTTGGCCGACTTTACACTTTCGGGCATCTGGCCCTCCATAAGGTCAACACTATTAATACTGCGGAATGTTTTCAAGCCGGCTGTTGCTATCAGTTGCCACTGCTACTTCTCGTCACCGAGTAATTGAGGAAGTGGGGGATGGGACGTCAAAATGTCCACATCAGATATACGATTCGATTCAAATAGGTTAGCGAACTCAAGTGCAAAATCCATCCATCCATTTTCCGAACTGCTTTATCCTCACAAGGGTCGCGGGTTGTGCTGGAGCCTATCCCAGCCGTCTTCGGCAGTAGGCGGGGGACACCCTGAACCGGTTGCCAGCCAATCTCAGGACATACACAGACGAACAACCATCTGCGCTGAATGTTCAATCAGCCTGCCATGCATGTTTTGGGAATGTGGGAGGAAACCGAAGTACCCGGAGAAAACCCACGCAGGCCCCGGGAGAACATGCAAACTCCACACAGGGAGGCCGGAGCCGGGATCGAACCCATGACCTCTGCACTGTGAGGTCGACGGGCTAACCACTTGTCCACTGCCCCATCCAAACGCAAAATATCTTCTCAATATGTTTGATGCTCATGAGTCTAATCACGGGATTCTGATCACGACATTCATCTCCGCCGACAGACAATTTATCCAGCGCCAACTTTGCCATAATTGTTGTCCGAGTGCCTTCGGGCTCACATTCCAAACCTCACTGCTCGCCTGCTCTCTGGGTTTGGTCATGTGACATTCGCAATGCGAACCCAGAGGCATTTTGACGTCAATTTCAGTCGACAGCAGAGGGTGCTACAGGACATTAAACTCAAGTCAACTCAACTCAACTGTATTCATAGAGCACTTTCAAACAGCCATCGCTGCATACAAAGTGCTGTACATGGAGCAATTCAACATATACAACAAACAGTAAAGCAAATCGGTAATAAAGACGGTAGAAAGCACCGAACAGCAAAACCAAGAACAAATCTTAAGTCATTCTGAGGCGAATGCCAAAGAATACAAGTGAGTTTTGAGGCGGGTTTTGAAGATGGGCAGTGAGGAGGCTTGCCGAATGTTCAGTGTTAAAAGTGTTGTTAAAATTCCGACTTGGTTAAAATCTGTTATAATCCGTAAGAAGTAGTAAATTATAGTTTCGCTGTCGAGGAGAATTGATTTTGACGATTTTATGGATATGATTTTTAGGAAGGAGAGCCTGGCGAGATGTGGCAAATGCAAGAAAGCCTACTACTGCAATGTCACATGTCAGGTAAGGAACAAAAACCATGTGGTCACTATGCATGTTTGCTTTAGGTTTCAAATTAAAGTGTTGCCTTGAGATACAAGCGACCGTGCATACGGCTATTTCGAGATACAAGCCGTGTTTGAACCGAGTTTTTTTTTTTTTTTTTTTGCAAGCCGCGTTTGACCAGTCTTTTGCTTTGACTTGCAAATTAAAATCTGAGATGTGAACTTAATTCACAACAAATAGCAGTTTGCCAGAGAATTAACAATTTTTCCTCCCCAGAAACGTTTACTGTTAAACTAAACATAAAACTAAGAGAATGACATTGTGTTTTAAAAAACAGAATTTTCTCTTCTATTAGTTTAGTGCTAACGACACCCACCCCACTCAAAAAAAAAAAAAAAAAAAAGAATTACCGTTGCTAATTAGAGTTTTGGTGCTGCGAGCGCAGAAGGGCGACTGGGCGGTGCACAAGCTGGAATGCTCGGCGATGGTGGCCTTCGGGGAGAAATGGTGCCCGTCGGAAAGCAGTCGCCTGGTGGCCCGAATCCTGGCCACGAAGGTGAGGAAGGAAGCCAGCCCGACCGGGTTCCAAGCTCTCGGTCGTGTTTGCGCTGAAAAGATGTCGCGTGCGTCCCTGCAGAAAACACAGAAAGAAAGAAGTGCGTCCGAGAAGATCTTACTCGTTGCAGACATGCAGTCACGTGAGTCTGAAGCTGCCCGATACAAGACAAGTCTGCTTCAAACATCCATTTTCATACCCTTGGCTATGAAAAAAAAAACTCAACAAAACCTCATTTGTAATCCAAATTTAAACATTTGAAGTCTTATCTTGAAACCCTAATTTGAAACCCAAACCAAATTTTGAAACCCTAACCCAGGTTGAAAACAAAAAAACAAACAAAACCCCCCACCCCCCAAAAATGAAAAAAAAAACACAATAGCTCTATATTAGCTTGAAACCCAAACAAATGGGTTCAAATCCCACTCACAACCTTAACCCTGTCTTGAAACCTTAATTGCGTTGAATTGAAGTGAATCTGATGATGTAACACGGCATCAGAGAGATATGGGTCAATGGTTGCTCTTCCTGTCGTAGACGCGGAGGACGTGGACAACGAGAAACGAGACAACATCCAGGCGGACGCAGCCGGCCTACATCGCTTTTTCTCCAAACATATGGACTTTCCTGACTCCAAAGAACTGCTCTCGCTGTTCTCACAGGTAAAAACATTTAACAGAAAAACAACAGAGCCCATGATGCTTTTATGCATTAATTTTTTTTTTCTTTTTACCCACAGGTATCCTGTAATGGCTTCACTATCGAGGACGAAGAACTGTCCCACATAGGCACCGCAGTCTACCCAGAGTAAGACGAAAGTTAGTCACCGCTCAAACTAAGTACTTCACGCTAAGCTAATTAGCATACCATTAGCCACTGTTTTTGGTTATTTTTTTACAACATGGACCTTCCAGTTCAAAAGGAGCATTCTAGTGCGCTTTTTCTCAGCGGAAATTGGGCCGACTTCCCACTTTCCTCGAATGCGGCATAAGATAACAGGAGCGGACTATGTTTCAAATGATAATAAAAGTGAAATGCTGGGTTTGTTTCTTTGTTTGTTTGTTTGTTAGCTTGCAGGCTACTTCAGTGAGTTAGCGTACATGCTGAATGAGGTGACTGTTGAAAATGAATCAGTGGACCAACATGGGATGTGTTAACATAAAATAATGAGCGCGGGGGGGGTTCTGTTGCGGGCGGGGTGGCAGAATATGAAATGGTAAAAAACCAAAAACAAAGCGTAGCCTGTGTTGTCATGTGCTTGTATGTGTTGTGCAGCGTGGCGCTGATCAACCACAGTTGTGTTCCGAGCGTGATTGTGACGTTCAAGGGCCCGAATGCTGAGGTGCGGGCCGTCAAGGACATGAAGGCTGGAGATGAAGTGAGACACACACACACACACACACACACACACACGCACACACACACGCGCACACACACAACTTTTTTAAATTTTTAAATATTTTTAGAAATAGACCTTAGCTATTGAATTATTAATAAAATGCTTAATTTTTTCATTTTTAATCATACGAAAAAAATGTAGAAAATACAGTAATAAAAAGCATAAAAAATTATTAGTCAATGACTATTTTAATTTTAATTCAATACAACCAATAATACAAATAAAATAATAAAATCCAGCTGAATGCCAAAAGAAAAAAACTCAAACTTCGAATGACTGTGTGCTTTCCACTTGTAGGTGTTGATCAGTTACATCGACCTGCTCTACCCGACAGACGACCGCAATGGCAGGCTCAGGGAGTCCTACTACTTCAGTTGTGACTGTGCGGAGTGTCACACCAAGTCCAAAGTGAGAACACATGCATGGCACACACATGGGAAAAAAGCACACAGACACACAGGAATTTTTTTTTTACAAAAACAAAATTCACATTCATAATCAAAAACAGACACACACACACAAAATACCAACCCTATGCACACACAAACACAGGCCAATTGGGGCTTGTGTTTCTTGTCATGCCCTGGCATGTAGGAAAGGAGAGCACTTCACTTTTTTTACCAACCTACGGGAAAAAAAAGTGAAGTCAAAACCAGAAACACAATGAACTCACTCAAACATGACATGCTCTTGGCCACAGCTCACACCCAGACATCACACCACACCAGGCCCCGCCTCTTAAATGCAAATGCAGTCGCGCGCACTACAATACAAATTGTGTTTTGTAATCTCTACTGTGTGTGTGTGTGTGTGTGTGTGTGTGTGTGTGTGTGTGTGTGTGTGTGTGTGTGTGTGTGTGTGCAGGACAAGCTGAAGCTGAAAGTGCGCGAGCGTGTCAAGCCAGCGGAGGCTGAGGCGGTAACCGCCATGTTGCACTACGCCCGCAAAACCACCAGGGACTTCCGCGAACTGAAACGTCTCAAAAATATCCTTTTTTTTGCCCAGTGTTCGTTTTAGGAGATTCAGTGAAACCTATCCCTTGTCTCCTTGACTCTGTGGCACCCCCTAGCGAGCTTCTGGAGATTTGCGAGCAGAGCCTGGAGGAGATGTGCGGCGTGCTGGACGCGGCCAACGTCTACGTGCTGCACGTCAACTACCAGGCGATGGGTGTGTGCGTCTACCAGGGAGACCTCCACGGTGCCGTGCGCTATGGAGAGAAGCTACTTCAACCCTTCAGGTGTCTTGTCTTATTTGTACTTTGTCCAGCGAGGATAAAGAAATAAACGTCTCAAACAAATTGCAAGCACAGTAATACAAAATATAATGTTTACAAATATGTTACAAAAATTTATGTGGGATGTGATGTGACCGTTAAGCACATGCTACGTCATAACGTACCGTATGTACGTACGCACGTTGCAGCCAGCTGTATCCGGCCTACTCGCTGAACGTCTCGTCTTTGTACCTGAAGCTCTCCCGACTCTACTTGGCCTTGGACAAACGTTCGGCTGGTATCAGCGCGCTCAAGAAGGTGCAGTGATTTTTTTTTTTTTTTTGTACTGGAGCAATTATCATTTGCGTAAAAGTGTAAAAGTGTTCAAAGTCGAAACGTGTGTTTGGCAGGCAATGAGCATCATGGAAGTGACCCACGGAAAAGATCATCCCTACGTTCGAGAGCTGCTCAAACAACTCAAGGAAACTTAACTTGAAAAAGGAATAAATTGCTACCTTGACTTTATAGTTGGATCTGTCCCGTGACCAAGCTCGTAACTGCATTTACTCGTACGGCGGCGCCTTGAGATACGAGTCGCGTGTGAGCTTTCAGAGATACGGAGCCGTTGTACGGCGGATTATTTTGCTTTACGATAGAAGTTATGTGTGGCAGTAGCGAACTCAAATCTCCACCCCAGTTAGCAGTTTAATAGAATGTGCGCATTTTTTCTTTATTGCCGTTGCGGCCCCTCAAAAGCGTGCGAGAGAGACACACTGTCGGTAGAACGTGCATGCAAGCGAAAGTCACGGATGCTACATTGCTAGCACAGTAGCATAGCTTGTTCATTTTGGAAAGTTGTCAAACAAAAATTCTGATGTTTTTTTTTTAAATTGTTAAATTTTTTTTTTAAAGAGTGCTGAAAAACTTACGAATCGACTCGGTCAGGTGACAACGACGACTTTGACACGACGCTGAATTGTCTCCTGTTCATTCACTTTGCATTTTACCTGAAAAGAACGCAATTGTGCTTTCCTTCCAATAGATGGCAGTGTTTCCCCACAGTATTGCTAGAATGAAGGCGCTTGTTTTTCTCACCTCTCAACGTTCCCCCCTTTGGCAGAAAAGTAAAATGACGCTGGGTTTTCCACCAGTTTCACACAACCAGCCTTAAATCAGACCCATTGTGAAAATCTGATTGGAAAAAAAAGCCATTTCATAGCCATTTTAAATGGAGTGGCTATGCTCGCTTCGAGTGAAGTAAATTGCTTGCACGTGTGCGTGCGTGACACGTGAGCGCGTGCACGGAAGAATGACAAGTTGCGAACTAATAATTAAAAATTTAATTCGAGGCATCAGATTTCAAAATATCTTTTTAATAATATTCTCCAGTTTTAACATTGGCCTATATGAGGAAAAAGTGTTTTTGGCGAGTTGTAATGCGTTTTAAAATTATGTTTATCTACACGTTGCCAAGTCAAGTGAGTCCCCTCCACACATAAAATACTTAGTTGACACCCTAATACAGAAAATAAGACTTTATTGCATTACAAGCAAGTACACGTTTACGGGGACGAGAAGAAAGCAGTGAAAACACATATACAAAACATATGTACACGCACCAAGACGAAAGGGGGATTAAATAGGAACAAACAGTGGAATGCCGCGTGACAAACGAGTGCAATAAAATACTTGAGAGAGCAGAAAGCTTATACGGACAAGAATTGATATATTTATGTTTATATATACATTCAAATATATATTTAAGAAAAACGCATGCATAGTTGAACAGGTTGCGGTATTTTTGATAGTACCAAGTCATGAACGATTAACAAATTTTCACACAATACATGTGTCTGTACAAATAAAAATGTTATTTTATAAACATGTTGAAGGATAAATACTGACTCCAGAGATTTCAACTAGGATAAGTGTGGAGCTCTCCATTTAAGGCACAATATTATGCTATTTACAATGTGTGTGTGTGTGTGGGGGGGGGGGGTTCAATGGACTCCTTGTACTTTTGGGAGGTTTCTTACAAATTGTTGAATTGTTTACACCCATAGCCCACCAAAAAAAACAAATGAAAAATTTGAGGAACTGCTATGATGCTCATGATTTATCATACGAAAAATATTCACAGAGCTTCACCTTTTTCCATATTTACCCTTTGGATAGTTTTTGTTAAGCTCAATTTGTCAGCCAGCATGAGGACAAAGGATGCGGGCTGGGCGTGGCCGCTTAAGAGCGCCTCGTTGTTGGCTGTGAGTGCATACATAAGAGCAGCCAATGGGTCAAATTTACAAGACATTTATTTTTCACTTTACAGGGACTTGAATATATTTGAAACATTTTCAAAATAACATTGGTCCTGTTTGCTATTGAGTATTGTATGTAGTATGGAATTTTGAGGGGGGAGAAAAATTCATTTATTCCGCTATGGACAAAGGGTGTAACAAGACAAAAGTTGCAAAAAGGGAAGCGCTGTGAATATTTTGTGAATGCACTCTATTTGTTCAGAAATTGAGTGGACATATTGAAATGTAATGTGGGTGAGCACAATGTTGAGACACTTAAATAAATATAAAAGGAACAAGAAAAACATTTGCTTCAATGTGAAAGTTAATATTTGAAGGTTTTTTTTTTTTTTTTGGGTCACACAACTGCTGTTCAAACATTATCATTTATCGATACATAGTGACCTGAGGGGAGGGGTTATTTACATAACTCCAGATGGGGGAGGCATAATATCACTTTGCATTGATAGGTTTCAGTTAGAATTAGGTAAGCAGTGATATGGCGCCATCTTGTGGCATGTTAATTGTACACAGAGTCCATTAGAGGGATGGCTGGCAACTATTTGAGGAAATAAAACCGTTTTAGCAGTTTGAAAATGAAAAATGAATCAAATGTAAAAAGGTGGGTGAGGGTGTGTATTCTGCCGACACTTCAGATGAGGCGAGAGTTCTTGAGGAACTGGATGAGGACCTGGTAGACAAACTTATACTGCGAGATGGTCTGGACCATCAGCATCCTCTGCTGCCTTAAGCCCGAAAGCATGGTGGGGATCTCCACGGGCTAAACATGACGACGACAACAACAACAAGCGGCGTTTGCGATCAGTTGCAATAATAAGCATCAAATAAACGTAAGGACACACACGTTAAATTAAAATATTTCCACCATCTGCTTCCAAAAAATGTAAATACTTATTTTACTTACTTTTCTGTTAATATACCAATGCGGAAGATGGTCAGTGGTTGGATACCACACAGATGCTACCCATTAGCTTGTTTATGGTGTTTCGTATTGTTAGCATGAAGCTAAACAGACCCTCCCCGATAGCCGATGCTGGAGCTTTTTGGGTTGTTTTAAATACACAATTTGCAATCGGCTTTGTTTTATTGCTTCAAAATAACCCAAAAATGATTACTTATGACACAACGTTTTTGCCAGGCTTCGAAATGAACATTTGGGTTTTAGTGTACATATTATACATAAATTAGGGAGGAGGTCAAAATGATCCTGGCCTGGAAAAAAAAACATGTTGCTATTTCTCTTATATTGATATAAATATGTTTCGGATTTTTTTGTTTTAATGAAAGTACCAACCTCATTGTGCTCCAGGCAGCTAATCATTAACTCGGTGAGAATAACGACGCCGGTGCGACCCACTCCTGCACTGCAGTGCACCACCACTGGTGGGTTTAGGCTCTTGGAGGTGTCCAGCATAGAGTTGGTGTGCCTCCTCACTGACTGGATCTCCTCCAGGTAGGCTGAGAAGATATGATAACAAATAGTAATTTAAAAAATGAGATGAATTTCACAAAAAACAAAAAAAAAAAAAAAAGCAAAATGGAATGTGGTCACCCACAGAGGAAGCCCTGGACATATTCTGGGCAGCCTTGCTCAGGCCAGTCGGTGTACTGCAGGTGCCACACGGTTCTCTCCTGGCCCGACAGCAGGTGTTTGACCTTCAGACCTGTTGTGGCGTAGCAGCCCGAGTCGGTGCGGAACTTGGTGGTCACCTTGAACTTGCCGTGTGTGGCCGAGTTGTGCTTGGACCCCAGCTTGGGCCAGTAGCGGTGACTCTTGGAGCGCCCGCCCTCCTGGAATCAGGCGCAAAGGGGCGACAGTCAAACATAACCGCACGCACATGTGAGTGTGTGTGTGTGTGTGTGTGTGTATATGTACCTCTTCGGCCGTAACCATGGCGATGACATTGACACCCTGTTCCCACACCATCTGCCAGAAATCGCCGCAGGTGTTGGCCAGTGGGCCCTGGGTGCTGATGTAGTGCCACTCCTCCCCTCGGATGGTCACCTGCCCACAAAAAAAAATAAAAGCATTAATTTCACCCAAATTTAACACCACAAAATACTCAAAAGAGTTCAAAGCAAACATGAGAAATCAGCATTTAGCTGCGATGCTGCAAGGAAATTGAATCAGCTGCCAACAGAAATGAAGTCCGCCCCAAGTGTAACGGCTTTAAAATTCAGGTTAAAAAACTACAATGTTTGTTTTTTTTCACCATTTGAAGCATTTTACACTAGATGTTTCCAAAATCTCATCCTTTTTGTCTTTACTTTGCTTTTAAATGTCTTAAATTATTTTGTTTGTGTGCGTGTTTTTTTTTCCCCTTTTGTTTTGCGATGGTATTAAATTATTTTGTTTGCAAATGCCTCATAACAGATTCATAATAGAATTCATGTAGTGAAGTTGAACTGGCTTTGGGAGCTGAATTTTCGATGAAGAAAAAAAAATGGACAAAATAATCCTAAATCGAGATTTCAAAGCAACATGCTAGACTTTGTGTCTTTTCAGGCATGGCTTCTTGAGACTTTTTTTGCAGGTCCACTCATGATAGACAGCCATGCCGATCAATTTAACGGATTTCCTGTGTCTTTTTGGGCATGGGTTCTTGACAGTACATAGTTTGTAGGTTTGCATATGACAGACATGCCTACCAGAATTTGGGTACCCACGTGAAACTGACTCCAAGAAAAAAAATGGGTAAATTGACACCAAAATGGCTACTTCAAATCAAAATGACAGATTTGCTGTTAGTTTTCAAGAATGAGGTCCTGAGGCTTTTTTGTGGGTCTACTGATGATACATACATCATATCCTGTTGCAAAGTGAAACCGTCTTTCTGAAGATGAAAAAAAATGTACAAAAAGACACTAAAATGGCTACTTCAAATCAAAATAACAGAGTCGCTGTTAGTTTTCAAGCATGGGTTCCTGAGGCTTTTATTGTGGGTCCACTCATGATACATACATACATAGCCTGTTGCGAAGTGAAACTGTCTTTTTCTGAAGATGAAAAAAAAAGTGGACAGAAAGAAACCGTAATGGCTGCTTCAAGCCCAAATGACAGAATTGCTGTCTGTTTTTGGTTGTGGGTTCTTGAGACTTTTGCTGGTCTAATCATCACAGAAAGAGCCACCAAATTCTGCACCCAGCCTGCACTTTTGTGATCTGGACTAAATAAAAAAAAATGTGGAAAACAATCCCCAAAAAAAAACCCACCACTTTCAACCTGTGTAACAGCATACTTGGACCCGTAAAAACCAACGCGTGACTGCAAAAATTATTCCAAACTATAATGAAAGGCTTTTTTGTTCATGCGTGCTCGCTGCTTTAAACAACACGGTAAGAGGGTTACGCAGGGTCGTGACCGGCGCCGATCACACCAAACGCAAACTCGCGCGCGATGTGTCAAGCGAGGTGGGCAAGACTGAGCGGCTCAGATGGACTTAAGAGGGTTTTAGTATTTGCGAGCGCATTCCTGGCGAATTCCTGCGAGCGCTTTGGAGCTGAAAAGGTTTGCCGCCTTTCATCTTTTCTTTGCTCAAAGGCCACCACAAGAAAGACAAAGCGAGAGAAACACGAGCGTGTTGTGAAGCCTTCGCCCTTCATGTCCGCCGTGTGATGTGGTCGTCACACAAGTCCCCGTTTGAGACGCGGAAGGTGATGAATGAAGAGCGACAGCAAGAGACTGGAGGGCGTCATTGAAGATGTTTGAAAAGAGCAACACGAGCACGGCTTGGTACCGACTCGGCTCCACTTTTTTTATGTCAGGTACTACTTGTGCTGCGGAGAACAGTGCCACGAAATGGTGGAAAAGTGGAATTATGTCGAATGTCAAACGAGAAATGAACCGCTCAGGATATTTTAGAAAGATCGGCTCCAGCTCACCCAGACACAAACACCAGTGAGTGAAATCTATGGATTGATATTATTACCTGGCTTCATGTATTTTTCTTCAGTATATTCAAACATATACAACATAGATTGATTTATGAGTGTTTGGGTGAGAAAGGAAAATGTCTCAAGGTCTTACTAGAATGAACGTGACATTTTATTTATTTGTGTAGGTACTTATTTAGGTAGAAGTAAATTTGTACACGTCATTTTATTAAATTGATAAAGATTTTGGGGGGAAGAAATTTCAGTTTTTGGCTAACATGAAGATTACACTAATATTTAATTTTGATATATTTTTTAATAAATCAAATTTTTATTTTGTATTTATTTTTATCAAAACGATTTTTCTGATTTAAAAAAAAGTCCGGATTTATTTTCATTAATGTAATTAATTTATTTCAATAAGTATAATATATCAAATGTTTTATTCACTAACTTTCACAATTTAAAAACATTTAAAATGAAGTTTTTTTTCTTCGAGGACAGCTATTTGTACTTTTTAATCGCAATTAAAAACTAACTGTAGTTCAACAGATTTTATAAATGTTATTTTTCATCTTCAAAATAAAACAATGCCCAAAAGCACTTCCTAAGAAGTAGAATGAACACCTGCGAAAGACGAATTAATCGGCGAAAAGCCGACTTGTGTCCCGCCTGGCACCTAACCGTAATCACCCACCTTGATATGGGAGGCGTTGATGTAGCCCGTGTTGTTTTCCTTGTTGGGCACCAACTCCACTCGGTTCTCCTCGTACGGAACCACGTCGCGGAAGCGGTTGCGCTCGGCGTTCTCGGGGAGCGTGGCCGTGGTGAGCGGGCCGTCCGCCCTCTTTTTGGGCACCTGCTCGTACTCGGTGAAGACGCGCTCCTCCTCCAGCTTCAGCTCCAACGTTTTACACTGGCCGGGTCAAGAGAAAGACCAGTTAATAACATGGACTGTGAACTAGCTTCATGCTAACCGCTTCAAGCTAACCTGAACTAAACTTACTGCTGCTACTTTGCCCACACTGAACAGCAACACATTCAACAGTGGCTTCACTGTAATGCACACGTGTATTTGGGACTTGTTCCTCTTTTTTATTTATTTTTTTCTGCCGATGTCCATCACTGAGGCCAGCTCGCATTCTTAGCATACCGGCGAGACCCCGCAGGCGATAAAGCGCCGGCGTGCCACGCGTTCCGCTGCCTACTTAGGGCTTGTCCCTCTGAGCTTAGCAACGGTGCGGACAAAGGCCTCCTGTCAATGGCCCGCACGCCAACGCCATTCAGTTTAATGATATTACTTTTGTATACTCAATTCAGACATTTATAGGACACACAGTATTTATGTACTGTATTATATACACTGCATTTGTATGGCAGGGTTAAATTTATATTCAATCACACAGTTAGATTTGTGAGTTAAATACAAGACAGACAATTATTGCTTTCTTTGAAACGTTTGGTTACTAAGATTGCACTTGAAATGGAAGTTTTATGAAAAACAATTGTGATTTTTATTCATCCATTTATCTGGAGCGCATCTCCGGGAAGCAGGCTAGTTTTGTTCGTGTCACTTAGATGCTTGTTTTTCATTTGGATATTTTTATAAAATAAGAATAAATTACTTCATTTGATATTAAAGCTTCATGTGTATTTTGATTTTTTTAAAATGGTATTTAAAAATGAGGGGGAAAAAATACAATGACTTCATGTTATTTTTGGTAATTGATTTTAGATATAATTTGCAATGCATGTTAAAAACTGAGTTTATTTTCGATTCAAGTTTTTGCAGATTTAAATGTAATAAATAAATTTAAAAACCACTATAAAATAAAATGTACTGACTTTAAGTCATTTTAAATCTGCATTTATAATTTACTTATGAATTACTTCCATATTGCATTTCAAATAAGCACATTACAAAAATCGCCTCAGTTAACAAAATACAGTTGAGTAGATTTGGTTGGGCTTTTTTTTTCTCCACGTTTTCAAAATTTTGGCACATCTGCACAATCTATTCAATTCAAAATGGTATCACGCAAATGAGCCTTTGTGGAAATAAATTCTGCTTGTTTTTCATTTATACTGTCTGAGTAAAACTTCAATATGTTTATGATAATTGTTGCGTTCCAGTGCCATAAAATTACTTTCATGAACACTAAAATTTGAAAGACTCCAAATGAAGAAACAAGAGCTGAGGTGGTCTTACCCGCTCGTCGGTGGCAGTCTTGGCGCCGTCGTCCGTCGGACACTCAGGAACGGGCATGCGGGCCACGTAGAGGCCGTTGAGGGCGGCCATCATCAGCGGCCGCTTCATTGAGTCCACGGACATCTTCTGTCTCTCCAACGTCTTCAAGAAAGAGGAGAAGCCTACCGTCATGCTTGCGCGTACAGGAAACATAACGTTAACTCGCTTCCTAACGTCTTTGCCTCTGACACACATTGCCCAGTCGGGTCCCTCCTGCCTTCTGCGAAACAGGATTACCTTTGCTAATCTCTGACGCTATTAAACCCTACAGGAGGGCTCCAATCTTGCCTCATCTCAATTTCGGGACACTCAAATAACAAGCATCCAAGGTGACCTCCGGCTTTGCATGTTCATTTGACTTGGTGGGCAGTACGACTGGATTCAGCACAACAAAACGAATGAGACCTTGAAGATGAAAAGACAGACGACCCCCCAACCCCCCGCCGCACCTCACCAAGCATAATCTGGGGGAATTGAGGAGGTTTTAGCGAGCCTGGCGGGCTCAAAGTCTAGTGCTTCCCTCTTTGGTGCTGAACGGCAGATTATTGCTAATCAGGAGCTGGGGTACTACTTAATAAACAGCATTTTGGGGGGTGGGGGATTAACCGACGGCGGCCTGGTGGAAGAGTGGTTAGCACGTCGGCCTCACAGAACCGAGGTGCAGGGTTCGATTCCGGCTACGGCCTTCCTGTGTGTAGTTTGCATGTTCTCCCCGTCCCTGCGTGGGTTTTTCTCCGGGTACTCCGGTTTCCTCCCACATTTCAAAAACATGCATGGCAGGTTAATGCAACACTCTAAATTGTCCATCGGTGTGAGTGTGAGCGCGGATGGTTGTTCGTCTATGTGTGCCCTGCGATTGGCTGGCAACCGGTTCAGGGTGCCCCCCCCCGCCTACTTCCTGAAGACAGCTGGGATAGGCTGAGGCACACCCCGGACCCTTGTGAGGATAAGATGATCAGAAAATGGATGGATGGACATACGACTGTGTTATCGTGCCTCAAAGAATGTGTAAGATTACAACTTTTTACCCCAACAAAACTGCTGAAATGACTGAGCTGCACCTGTAATAAGCTGGTAAGGTCTTACCCTTTGCGCTATCTCCCTCTCCACGATGCTGTCCTCCAAGGAGAACATCTCTGACACGGGCCTCTCCTTAACCGGCTCCTTCCTCACCCTCTCCTTCACACTGGTCAGGTCCGGTTCCGAAATAGATGGCCCCAAAACGTTGCCGTTGATGCCGCCCTGATCCCCTCGTGTCAGAGTCCCGCTACCCCCGCTCCCGGGTTCACCGTCCGCGGGGTTCCATCCTTGGGGTTGGATGGTATCCGTTGGCACCTGGGTGCCGTGTGGCGGTGAATTGTGGTTGTGGTGGTGCGTATGGTTGTGAATGGAAATGTTGCTGGAGGGTCTGGGAGGGCCCGGGTACTCCGGAGGGGGCTTGTTGGGCAGCTTGGCCAAGGCGGCCTGCAACTGGGCGCTGATGCTAATGTCCTCATTGAGACCCGGGATTTGGACGTCCAGCTCTGGCCTCTCTTCCTCCTCTTCCTCCTCATCTTCATCCTCCTCCTCCTCGCTCTCGCTGCTGTGGATGAGCATGGTGGCGTTGGAGAGAGTCTTTTGATGCTGGTAAGCCACAGGGGGTGCCGCTGGGGGTTCCTTCTGTGAGGGCATCGGGATGGGCAAGTCTTTGGATTGCGAGGGAGGGGGTGGCGGGGAATGACGCTGGGGCGCTTGGGCCACCGGCTGAGGGGGCATCACGTGCTCCCGCAGCGTATTCCTTCGATGAAGAGGAGCGTTCATGCCCTTCATCACCATGCCCTCCATCCCGCCGCCTCTCATGCTGCTGATCACCTCCATGCTGTGCCTCTTACCCAGGGCGGAGCGGTGCTTGGCCACGGTGGTGGTGAGCGGCTCGCTGACCTCCTGCAGGGATTGGTGCACCACCGCCGAGCTGTCCGGTTGGAAGGTCTTGACGGACAGCTGCACCATGCGGGTCACCAGCTCCGGGCTGCTGCCCCCGATGCAGCGCAGGCGGTGGCTCGCCAGGTCCGGCGTGCTTGTGGCGGGCCGGAATGCCGTGGAGGGATACGGCGGCGGAGGTCGCGATATGTGATTCCTCATGATGTGAGCCGTCGCGGCGTAGCTGCCGGCGTTGCTCCCTTGTTGTTTTGTATTAGCCAGCTCGGGTGTGCTAACCGTGTGAGAGATTGAGCTTCCCACGCCGCCGCCTCCGCCGCTTCCTCCGCCTCCGTTGATGCAAGGCGAATGACAAGCGCCCTGACTACTAGCTGGTCCTCCCTGAAGTGGGCCATGAGACACTGGCTTGCTGTAGCTGATCTACAAAGCAGACAATGTGTTTCCTCATCATTGTGAAGAATAATTAGCATGATCAGTGCCTTCGCATGAAATAGTAGATGTTTTGCTCACCTGCGTGTAGGGTCCAGGACTGGGTCCCAGGCCATGATAAGGGCCCCTCTCCCTCATTTCAGGCTGGCTATAAACCAGAGCCTCCGGTTGGCGATAGGCGCAGGCGTTACTAATGTTCAAACTGCGCAGCGACTGGCTGTGGAGGTCGTGATGAGCGTGCAGCATGCGCCGCTTCTGCCGCATCACGGCGTCGTACTCAGGCGTAGGCCGGTAGGACGGCGCGATGATGGCGCTGTGCCGGTGGCTGGGGATGTAATCCGGGCGCATCAGCTCGCTGCCCGGGATGCTGAGGTTGGAGGACATCGGCGAGGGCGGCACAAAGGTTTGCGAGTGGTTGAGGGAGCTCAGGCTGGGGCTGCTGTACATGCTTCCGTTGGGCAGGGTGCCGTTGCGGAAGGGGAAGTCCACCTGGCAGTGGTCCAGGCTGCTCTCGGACTTGTAGTAGGGGTCGTCGTGGAAGATGCTATCTAGATGGCGGAAGGGATGGGAGGACAGCGTCACATAAAAAGCAACCTTTATGAATAATATTTAGACAGTGGTGTGGGTGAGGGTGCGTGCGTGGAGTACCTTGAGAGCTCTTTGTGTCTTGGTAATGTTCTCCATACTGGGAATGCATTGTCTGGAAGTTACAGGACTGCGGCCGCGGCTGCAAAAAAAGCACATGTTAGAATGGCGGATGTGTGACAGAAGACTAACAGCGCTATTTCTTCGTTGTAAACCTGTCAATAAATTATCATTGTGACATCAAAAACCCTTTCTCCGTAATTGATTTAAGTGTCCAACAAGCAAAAAAATTAGGTGTTTTCGAACATTTTTTTTTTCATTAATAAAATGTTTTCTCATCTTATTGATCATTAACTCATTCACTCCCAAAGACGTTTTTTTAAATGTCTTTTCAGACTTGGTCTGGAATTGGCTGGTACTGAATGAGTTAACCTGTGCTTTGGGTGAAACCAAACCATAATCTCCTGGGTAGAATCATTATTTTTATTTTTATTTTTTTTGGTGAAAGAAGAGACTCTTCTCTCTCTTTTGGTAGGTTTGATGCTTACTTTGTCATGAAACACAATAACTCACCCGTGAGTCACAGTCAAAATGCTCGAAAACGGCTGTCGGTGAACAAGTTCCAATATTTTTTTTTCAATCTATATTTAAATTTAAAGATTCCATTCATGGTCCGTCTTGATTAAGACATATTAAGAAATAGTAGCCCTCAGTCGGATGACTATTCAGTTCTCCGCCATTATACACACATTGTTAAATTAGCCACACCGGATCTATTTTTTTTTTAAGACTTATTTATCCAAGTTGGAATTGGTTCAATGCAACATTTACAACCTATTTGTGGCCAGCGTCGAAAACAAGCAGTGCTTGTGATTCTGCACACAGACATTTGAGAGCATTCTATTCGAGCCAGGGAAGGAGCCATTGTGCCGTATTTAGCGCCGCCATTGTCGAGAGCCGGCGGCAAAGGAGACGCGCAAATCACTGGCTTCATTCACGCCGGGAATCACACGAAGCAACGGCCAAAAATAAATAAATAAAGGGAGCTAGACTCTTGACTTCTGATAGGCTGAGAGTACCAGAGAAAGGCGGTGCGTCCAGGTGGGCCTTCTCCTGATTGGCGCAGGGGAATGAGTGGGCCTAAAGAGACATAAGTGACGATGAAGATGAAGGACGGGGCAGCAAACGGCTTTGCGCGTGTTTTGGCCTTCAGACATCCTCGAGACTTACTCTGCGCAAATCTTGTTCTGTTTGTAGAACTTGTGTCTGGCCGTGAACAGACGAGCGATGTACTTGGCCATTTCCATATCCTCCTGTGCCCCAAAAGACAAAACATTCATGCGGTATTTGACACTTTCATGGCGGAATGTTGTCCTTGGGTGCTCTCACGGGCCGCAACATTAGGTACACCAACACGTTATCTAATACGATACAATACAAGTGCTCTATGGAAAAGTATGCCTTGATTTGGGTTATAATGCTTAGCAAAAATGGTTTCTAACACGCTTGTCTAATACATCGGTTACCTTATTTAAAAAAAAATTAACTAACTAAACTAACTTCAGTGGTCACATAATTAATTGACATTTTTTACACTATTATTTATTTTGTGAAATTCAGTTCAAAATAATGTCGACCTGCGTGCGTACTGGAAAGTGCAAATGTAGCGATGAAGACTGCATTTGTATTCGAATTTATTCTACCAATTTTTATGGAAAATAATTTTTTTTTAGTTCAGAAATTAACTTTGTAAACGTTGTTCGGAAAGAGGTATTAATTTAACAATACGCATCGATGATTTATGAGATTTTGGTTACCTTACCTGAAAATAAAAATGCATATATATTTTTAGCTGTTACATATCAGCTTATGTCTTCATGTGTTTTAATTTTATTTTGACTCGTTCATCACATTAAGGCAGTTACATTTTAAATCTGAAATTTGAGTGTGCTAATTTAGGCCGTACTGACATTTAATAAATTTTGAATGATAATAATTACAATCATTTTGTAATTCATATTTAATAGTAATCCCACTACTTACAAGTATTTTTTTTTACAAAAGCAGATGTAAAAAAAATTAAACGTAGATTAAATGACATATATCAAATATGACAAAACAAGGAAATGCGAAATTCAACCCTTGAGAAAAAATGTTAAAATGGTTTGCATTCTATTTCCATTAATATATCCAAATTCGATTTCATTTGAGAACACCATCTGCAAATTACTTTATTTCTTTTCCTACTCTAACTATTTTTATAATTCAACCTGCCGAGCTCAATTTAACATACAGTATAATCGGTCTTGAAAACCTCAAGCAAGATACATCACAGCACATCTATGCTAACAAACGATCTAAAAATCAGTCTTCAACTAAAATTGTCATCTTTGCAAATCTGAGATTGTTGATGCCTTACACAGGTGTACCTAATCAAGTGTGCATGCTTTCACGGACACACCCTTGGTCAGACACAACACTCACCAGGTGAAAGATGATCGTGTCATCGCGACTTGTTATCTCCACTGTGATGGCCGACTTGTTGTGCGCGATGGTGCCGATATCCTTCCACCTGTTGCACACACACAATTTTTTTTTCCCTGCCCCCACACACCACTCCAATGTGATGATGTCGCAACGGGTCCAGGATGTAAAAACTCACCTGTGCAGCATGATAGATCTGCCGTTTCTGTGCTTGACAAACACACCGATGAAAGACATGCCGATGAAAATGTCGTTGGTGTAGTTGTCCTGCACGTAAATGTGAAATGTCAGAAGAGAACGCTTTTCAAGTGCAGGACATTTTTGGGGGGTTAGACTGTACACCTTAGCGGCGAAACTCTCCTGGCCGAAGCCGTCCAGTTTCTCGATCTCCTTGATGTACAACAGCTCCGCTTCGGCTGCCTGCATTCGACTGCAAGCGTAACACAAGACACAAAAAATCGTAAAGTTCTCAACTGAAATGATGAAAAACAATTTAACGCTTTCCCTCCACAATTGAGTCCAACAGAGTTCTCAGTCTTTGCACATTTTCAGCAGTGATTTTCAAACATGTATAATATATTGAGAAATAAATCTTTGAATTCACTTAAAAAAAACACATACATTTTGAGATAAACTGTATTTAAGTATTTTTAGTACTACGTTCTAAGTCGTGAGCACAGTATTTTGTTTCGTTTGCAGCACAAAGTGGGCATTAGTGGAAACACTCTGAAGTGGTTTCGATCCTATTTGGCAGGCAGGTCCATTTCTGTTAGCCTTGGTTGCTCTCAGTCTCCATATACCCAAATGTCATATGGCGTCCCACAGGGTTCAATTTTGGGGCCCCTGCTGTTTTCGTCATTGCTGCCCCTGGGTTCCATCTGAAGAAAGCATGCTCGTTTCTTTCACTGCTATGGGGATGACTGGCAGATCTGTCCCGATAAGCAAAAAAGACACTTTGTCCTCAACAAGTTCCAGTGACCCTTGTACATCTCACCCTGTTGCCTTGGAGGGGGCCCAAGGTGTCCTTTTCTAAAGCCACCAGTCTCAAATTTGGATTTTAAATTGGATACTGATTTTAAATTCGACCAGAAAATTGAGCCTTTCAGTCCATCTTTAAAACTCAGCTTAAAAAATATTTTTATTCTTTGACTTTTGACTCAGCATGCAACTGTGTTGTTTTGGTGTTTTACTGAGTTTACTCTTTTTATGTTTTTCATTCATTGTTTTAGCTGTCTTTGTTTTTGTCTGGTATGCAGTCTATGTACAGCACTTTGTATGCAGCTGCGGTTGTTTTTAAATGCTCTATAAATAAAGTTGTGTTGAGAAACTGAATGAAAATGCTTGTACCAGTGGCTCTTGTGCTCTTCTGCAACCTTCTGCGTCCACTCCTCCAGCACCTCGTCTCCATTAGGCCAGTTCTAGACGTTTGAAGAGAGTTGAAAATGATGATGGGAAGGGCACACAAGGGCACAAAAAAAGTTTTAAGGCTACTCACCACTGGAAAAAGGACATACTCCCGAAGGAAGTCCTGAGACATGAACTGAGTGAAGTCCCCGAAGTCGGCTGGAAAGCAACAACATTGCTTTTGTTCAAACTTTCCCAGAAAATTTTCCAATTTTTCTTTATTCTTTCTCTAACTGGCCAAAATGGTGACACATTCGTACTTCAGGATTATTACAGAAATATTTGTGCATGCCTATTACAGCCGAAAATATTACTAAATAAAATGATTGCATTTTTTGATAAGTAAATTTTTCCAAAATAAATTAATAAGGGTTTTGAAAAAAATTGTATCGGCCCTTTTTTTTTTTTTTGAAAGGAGATTTAATATATTAAAATATAGACATTTTCTTAAAGGGGAAGCCAATGCAATTTTAGTTTTTTTTTATTTTTTATTTTTTGCAAGTATATGTTCTATGCAGCCCGACAATTTTAAACACGCATTGTGATGAATACTGCATATGTGGATTATGATTTAAAACTGAAAATCATGAGGGGGGCAAGATGAAACAGTTTTACGCTTTATTGATAAAACACAATAGCATCACGGTTGCTCGTAGCTTGGGCTCTGTTAACGACCAATCATGGCTCAGCTTCAGAAAACCAGGTGTTCTAGTAGGCTTTCTTAAGTTTTTTTTTTTTTGGGGGGGTGGGTGTCAGAATTCCTCCCACCTAGACTAAGGCCTCGAGCTGAAGGGCCCCAAAAGATGATGTCGTCATCACCGTGCTTTCCTCTTTCGTGAATGGGCCGGCGTTGCATTTGCATCAAACTCATTTTACGCAATTATGACTTTTCCCACCCTCCCTTTCCGCTTGTAACTACTACATGTGACAACACAGCAATAGTACTCCCACTTAAGACACCTTCCGTCTACAGTGCATCCTAAGCAATGTTTGTAGTAAGCGGATCCTCGCCTCCCTGTCTGATAACTGTCTTCCTGCCGCAGGCCAAGACTAACCTTGGAGATGTTGATAAGCAAACTGTCTGTTTACATTCCCTGCGGAGATACAGACATCAGCCCGGAGTGTGTGTGTGTGTGTGTGTGTGTGTGTGTGTGTGTGTGTGTGTGTGTGTGCGCGCGGGTGTGTGCAAGAAGTGACCACACACACACACAAGCGCGCGCGCACGCACCCACTTGGCCCACCCAGCATGAAATAG